ACCTGAAAATAAAATAAAATAAAATAAAACCTGGCGATGTGTTAGGTAAAAAAAGCCAGGCGGTAGGATGATCTATTCTGCGTGGGGAGAGAGGAGAGGTCACGGTGCCGCCGTGGGGGACATGGAGCCGCTCCCGGAAGGATCTCGCCGACCAGACCAGCCTCGTGGGGGCTGGGGCAGCAGGGAGGACTGAGGTGTGAGGGAGGGTCACACCAGACACCTTGTTGTTTGATTTTGTTTTAACCGTGTGTCTGCATTATGTTCTATGTTTTAAGAAAATAGCTAAGGTGAGTGGGGAGGGTGCGTGGGGTGAAGATGCAGAAGGGGTGACTAGGGGAGGACACTTCAGGGACAGGGGTGTGTGGTGGGAGGGGCCTTGCCAGCCAGGCTCGGGCCACCGCCCCGCCCATTATGACCTTCCTAGCTGTGTCCAGGCCTTTGTGACAAACGCCCTGAGGCGGACCTGTGAGCTGTGACGCCTGGAGGCCCTCAGTCAGAGGGTGGTAGGTCTGGCCAGGCCAGAGCCTGGACCTGGGGTCAGGAAGGGGTCATAGGGAAGTATGGAGGGACCGAAAACCCTGGGACCCTATGGCCACTCCCACCCCCAATGCTCCCAACCCTCAACTTCGAGCAGCCACGGAGGATGCCTCGAGCCACCCTGCCAGGGGTTTGTGAGGTGGCCCTGCCTGGTGCCTCTCAGCTCCACTCACTCAGTGGAGTCTTCCGGAACTTTCCCAGCCCCGGGGCCAGGGGGCGGGGGGCCCAGCGTGGGCAGTGAAGGACCTGGGGGCTTTATCCCAAGTGAAGAGGGAGAGATGCAGCGGCAGAGACCACGAGACCCAGCAGGGGCGAGGCCAGGACAGATGGAGGCAGGGCTGGCGTGGGGCTGGTCCCTGCACTCGGGAAGAGAGCAGGGGTCATCCAGGCAGGGGGGAGCCCCCAGCTCAGGGCCCAGATCCTTCCCGTGCCAGCACCTGTCACCGGGGGCAGGGACCCCAGCCTCCCCTAGGCCAGCCTCCTCCCAGCTCCAGAGCGGGCCCCTGGGGCCAGCCGAACAGTCCTTCCTACAGTTGGAGCAGGAGAACCAGAAGCTGGTGAGTGAGGCGCCAGCCAGGGCCGCGGGGCTGGCCCCAGGCTTGGCACCTGTCCGTGCAATGAGCTCACAGCTGTTGCTGGACCTCCTCAGCCCCAGGCCCTGAAGCCCCTGCCCCAGCCCGGGCTGCCTCCGTCTCCTGCCCAAGAAATAGCTGTGATGGGCAGCCCCATCCATCTGTCTGCCTCCCACCCCCAGAAAAGACAGAACCAGGACCTTCGAGAGCAGCTGGGGGCCCTCCTGGGACCAGGACAGCAGTTCCTGCCGCTGTGCCCGGAGCACTCGAGTTGTACAGCCCTGACCTGGGTAAGTACATGGCGGCAGCAAGGGTCCAGCAGGACTTCGGCTATGGTCAGGGCGGACCCTGCGACGCCACGCACCACACCCTCCACTCCTGATCCCAAGTAGTCCTTGACCACAGAGGCCGCCCACAACCTTGAGGCTGACCCAGGGCTCTTCCGCAGCCCCGTGAGCAGGCTGGCACCAGGCCCCTGGAGGACAGGGCACCTTTGCAGGTGCTGCGGCAGGAGCTGTGCCGGGGAGAGGAGTCCTTCGTGCAGCAGTCCCAGGTGGGCACCTGGAACGGGCCCGGGGGGATGGGGGAAAGTCCCAGGTGGGTGGAGGCGGAAGAAGCTGACCACCGGTGGCCCCGCCCCCATGCCCATCCTGTGCTCCTCCCCCAGAATGAGCTGCAGCAGATCCGACTGTCCTTTGAGAGGAAGAAGATGGCCATTACCGAGGTGCCCACCTGGCCAGGGTGGGAGGGGTGCTGGGGGACCCACGTGGTAGGGCACAGCCTTGGGGCCTGACCTAGCCTTCCCCCCACCAGGTGTGGGATGGTGTGGCCGAGGTACACATGGCCCTGAACAACCAGGCCACCGGGCTCCAGGTAGGTCCCCGAAGAGCAATACCTAGAGGATGGGGGAGGCAGGAAATGAGTGGGGGAGGGGAGGGGGGAGGCAGGGCGATCGGTCAGGGGTGCAGGACTCTTGAGCCCCTCTGTCCCCTAGAACCTCAAGAAGGATATCCGGGGCGTGCTGGACCAGATGGAAGACATTCAGCTGGAGATTCTGGGGTGATGTGTGTGGTCGGGGGCTGGGGGGAAGGGTGGCTCAATGAGCTGGGATGGTGCAGGTGTCCTGTTCAGGATGGGATGAACCAATCCCTAACCCCTCCCCAGTTCCGTGGCACCAGACCAGGGGTGGTGCCAGGCTGGTGTAGGCAGTGCCCATGGCCCTGACTGTACGCCTCCCCCAGGGATCGCGCCCAGTGCCGCACCCAGGCAAGGAAGGACCTGTGCTTATCAGTAAGCCCCCGCCCCTCTCCCGATTTCCCCCCGTCATGGCCCTAACTGGGGAGGGGAGAGGTGGGCTGCAGTGGAAGAGGCCCCAGGGAGGGAGCCCCACCAGGAGCCACGTGGTCAGATTCACCGGGGAGACAAGGTTGCAGGTGCCCATCCTGGGACTGGGGAGGAGAAACACACAGCACCCAGATCCCACAGGCAAGGGCAGGCTCTGACCAGCTGCTCCCCCCACAGAAGGCGCTGCCACAGCTGGGATGCTCCGAGGGCTTCAAAGGCCAGCTCTGGTAGGTGGTGCATGAGTGTGTGGGCAGAGTTCAGTTCCCCGGGGCTGCCCTACGGGTGCCCCTGCCCCCTGACCACCGCCGCCCGCAGGCTGCTGGCCCTGAGGCTGCTGCTGGGCGCCCTGCTGGCCTGCACCGCCGCCTACGTGTACGTGGTGGACCCCACACCCTTCGAGGGGCTGGTGCCGCCCCTGCTGAGCCGCGCTGCAGTCTGGAAGCTCCGGGCCCTGCTGGGCCCATTCCTGCGCCTCGAGGTGGACGACTTCCTGCCCTTCTAGGCTGGAGGCCCAGAGGCCCCATTGCACGCCGTCCTGCCAGGAGCCTCGGAGAAGGGTGGCGGCGGGGTCTGTCCGGAGGGCTGGGCCTGCGGCTGGACATACAGTGGTGACACACACAGCGTCTGAGCTTGTCTCCATGGAGATGGGGGGAACCTGACTGCATCCTGAAGCTAATCTTAAAGTGGGGGTCCCTCGGGGTGGCACCCCACCTCGGCCTTCATGCCCCACCTGCCTGCTGGATGGCAGCCCCTCCACAGCAAGCCCCCAGGTTGCCCCTGGCACCAAGAGGGCCCTGAGCAGAGGGTGTGACCAGGAGGGTCTCCACTGAGTGAGGACTGGGCATCCCCAGGCCTCCACCCTCATCGGGGGTCGGGTTCTCAGCCTGAACCTCAGACCTCGCACATGACTACAGTCCCTGTCCAGTAGACTACCCCACGCTCCCCACACCCACCCGGCCACCACCGCCCACCCCACTCCTGCGCCCTCCTCAACCCAGGGTCCCCCCTGTCCAGTCCAGCCTCCTGGCACTGCCCAAGGCTCAGAGGACAGGGAACCACGTTGGTGGAGAGAGCTATGGAGGTGAACACCAAACATTTTATTTAGGGCATTGAATTGGGGCAGGGAATACCTTCTAGAATAGGAGCTCTGTGGCTTGCTCACCCCCAAGTGGGAGAGGCAGAGCTGTTGCCGAAGCAGGGAAAGGTGCCGAGCACCCAAGTGTCCACCTCAGAGGGGAGGAGTGGAGACTGCGGGCAGGGCCTGGGCAGAGCGGGCTCACTGGGCTGGGCGGCTGGTCTCCTCCTGCCCAGGCAGGGCCTGGACGGCTCAGCAGGCTGGTGGCTCCAGGACATTAAGGCATCTGCACTGGGTTCGGGGAGGGGGAGTGCAGTGACCTGCGGGGCAACCTGAGACCCCCACCCCAGCCTTACACAGAGGCCTGGGCTTCCTGGGGAGGAAGTGGCGTCTAAAGCGCTTGGTCAAGCCGGGAGGTCAGGTGATGGCGTGACACCCTAGGAAGGCCATGCAGGTCCCAGCAGCTCCAGGGCCCCCACCTGGGGTGTTGGACCCCCTGCAGCAGATGGGACTTCCTGAGGTGGGCGGGCACCTGGTCATGGACCCCGGTGGATAGGGAGTCGGTCAAGGTTTGGCCCTTCAGCCCACACCCCCAGGGTCCGTGGCAGCCTTGGCCTCCCAACTCTCCCACAGATGCCTACTTAGTGTCCCGCGCGGGCCCCGAGAGGCGGGGGAAAAGGCTGGAGGCAGCCATGTGCAGGCGGCACACAGCTCCTCGGGGAAGCACCCCGGCAGCGGGGCTCCAGGGGACCTGCAGCAGTGGGTGGTCCTCAGGGAGGCCGAGGCGGCGGCACAGGTGCAGGCCGGGGGGCACCCTGGGCAGGCCACGACGCCCCCATCCGTGGCTATAAGTGCCGATCCGCCCCCTGCGGGCCGCAGCGTCCCATGAGAGAGAAGCAGAAAGGTGGAGGTCAGCATGAGGCTGACCAGTGCAGGGTCCAAGGTCTGGGGTACCCCCCACAGGGGGCCAACCCCTGCCTCCCCCTCTCTGCCCAGCTGTGAGTCCTGAAAAGCTGTGCGTTCCCGATGCCTCCCCCTCCACACATTTAACAGGCAGAGGTGGAGGGACCAGTAAATGCAGCTGCAGGTCATGGCAACAGCCACCACAGGGCCCCCAGCCGGCGGGTGGCCCCGGGTACATCCCCTCCTCCATCTCCTGCGAGCCCTTGGGTTCCTGGGGGGCCCCGGGGGCAGCTGCAGCCCCAGTCTTTCTCCAAAAGCCCTGTTACTGCCAGGAATGACGCAGACCCAGGGGAGCCGCACGCTCGTCAGCCAAAGACCTGTGGGCCAGCCCCCACCTCCCAGGCTTCCAACTCCGCTTAAGTCAGCAGAAATGCCCACACGGAACCTCCGATCCCATACCGCCGGCCTCCACCTCCTGGAGCCTGGGTGGCTCTCCCCCCCCGCACCCCCACCCCAGAGCCCCTGAGTATCAGCAACAGCCCTGGCCTTGCTCAAGGAAAGGATCAAAATGACTCTTTTTCTTTTTTTAATAAAATTATAGATATATAGATGTAGATATAAAAACATAAAACAGACACAACGCAAGCAAACGCTGCTGTGTGCTTACTCTCGGGTCCCTGGCGCCAGGCAGAGCTCTGACCCCCTCCCCATGTGCTTCCCACGCAGACGCCGGGGCTCTGGCGCCCCGACTCCGCGTGCCTTGGGGTAGGGAATCTCGTTTGGCAGGGCAGGGACCCCTGGTCTCAGAAGCCCCTGTTGCAGCGTCCAGCCTGTGCCTGCTCCCACCTGCCCCCGGTGCCACCACAAGAGCATAAAGCAGAGGTTAAGGCTTCAATGACAGCGAGTTTCCCGGCAGTGGGGCCGCGGGGCCCCGAGCTTTAACACATGGGGCGTGGCATGGCAGCTCAGCGCAGACACGGGGACACGCCCACCAGCTGGGAGAGACGGGACACATGGAGCCAGGACCCCACCCACGGCTGGCAGTCTGTCCGTCTGTCCATCCACCTGTCAAAACCCAGAGTAGCCCTGGAGCTGGGTGGCTGCGGGCCAGGGCTGGCTTCCCCGAAGAAGCAGCGGCCTCACCACACTAGAAGTTTCCAGCGGGTCCCTGAAAGGCGGCAGGTTAGGGTCAGCCCGGCGGTGGGCCCTCAGTCCGGAGGATGGCCAGGGACCCAGGCCCCTCTGTCCGTTTCTGAGCCACAGCGACCCTTCTATAAAGGGACTGGGTGGGGGCTGGCCTGGTGACAATCGCGGGGACATGGGTGCAGTCCACGCAGATGCAGTCCGTGACCCTCGAGGCCCAGCCTATGGGAGCAAGGGCACCAACCCAGATCCTGTAGCTGGTGGCCCCTGGCCTGGCCGCACCCTCGTGAGCAGATAAGTGGATGGACAGGTGGAGACCGAGGGACAGACTCGTGGAGGCGTGGTTCTCCCTCCTGCTGATGCGTCCACACCTGCTGGGCCTCCTCCTCTGTCAGGGCAGAGAAGTCGGGGGGTGGGGGGCAGCCGCTGGGGGGGTCCTGGTCCCCGTGGTGCCACAGCGGATGGGTGGCCGTCACTCCTCACACGGAGATCTCGTACGTGGTCCCACCCACGCCAGACACCTTCTTAACGAGTGTGTGCCGGGCAGGGCTGGTGGAGGGCCCTGGGGGGCCGGCGGCAGGTCCCAGGCGGGCCAGGCCCGGGGACTGCCCGTTAAGCTTACTTGGGGGGTTCTTCAGCTGAGGGTGGTCCCTGCATCAAAGCAAACACATACATGCAGACACACGGTGAACAAGGGACCGACCATGGCAGGACAGAGGCCAGTGAGGCAACAGGACAGATGATGCAGACGAAGCCCTGGCTAGCCACGCCTCTGGGCTCAGAAGGTGCCACCCAGAAGACGGGTGGCCACATCGAGCCTATAGGGGGAGGGCTGTGCTGTCACAGGACCGACAGACGTCAGAACAGCTGTCACACCCCCAGGACCCTTAGTCCCCCTACTGGCAAGACCACATGCATGGGGCGGCCAGGTGGACACCACCAGCCAAGCCCCTGGTTCTGCCCGGTCCTGGTGCCCTGAGCTGGGGAGCCCAGTGATGCCTGTGCGGCCCCTTCCCTGTTGCCTCCTGGGAAAACGAGGGGCTGCCCTCCTGCCCCAAAGCCTGCCCAGCAACGACCTCGCTGCCCAGTCATGAGGGCAGGAGGCCCTCCCTCCTTCAGCTTCCATCCCTGCCTCTGCAGCTGCCACCTGCTGGACCTGTTACACCCACAACGAGACTCCCTGCCCTGGCCTGTGCTCAAGGCGGTGGGAGATGCCCCGAAGATGCTGCTATGTCCCGTGGGGGCCCAGGTCCCCATCTCTGAGCAGGGAGCTGCGTGCCCACCCTCCTGAACAGGGACAGCAGCACCATCTCCTGAGGAAGAAGGCCTGGGGGACCCCAGGCACGGGTCTCTGCTAGCTTGGGGGGAATATGGATCTTTAGGCTAAGATGCAAATCGTGCCACACCCTGGGACATGCCAGGGTGTCCCTGGAGGGGCACAACCCCCCAGGCTGGGAAGGTCCACCCCACAGGTGGCCTCAGGCCTTCTGGACAACCCGCATTTGCTCAGCCAAGAGGTCCCACAGCCAGCCAGACACCTGCCCCCTGCCAGGAAGCCTGCGGAGTCCCCAGCACCCACCTCTGCACAGCCAGCGAGGGCGGTGGTTCCGGGAGGTCCGAGTGGATGAAGGCAACGGCTTTGGGGCCCATGTAGGAGGGCGAGCGGGGAGTGCTGGGCGGGGAGGGGGGGGCCTGGCGCAGGGGAGACCTGTGGGAGCCACTCCCTGGCCGGGGTCCCGGGGCGTTGTTGTTGACCAGGTCTGCCTGCAGGGAGGAGGAGGAGGTCCTCGGCGCCCGGCTCACTGCGCTCGACAACGAGGACATCGACGTCTGCAGGGCGGGGTTGCGGGCGCCTCCGAAGCCTGGCCCGGCCACCAGGTCGTCTCTGGAGCCATAGCGCAGCACAGGGCCTCGGGGGCCCTCCGACAGCACGCTGGCCTGCTGCAGGCTGTAGGAGCTGGGCGCGTCGTAGACGCCCGAGTCGCCAAAGAGTGAGTCGGCCTGAGAGCGCAGCAGCCGCTCCCGCTCCTCCCTATCCTTGCGCTCCTGGATGGAGGCCATGATGGTCCTGGACAGGTTGTCGTA